CTTCAGTATCGCAAATTACAAAAGGTTCAGGACGAAACCTTTCTAAGTTTTGAAGCTTTTAAAAGTTTGTTACAAAACCTTGGATATTGCTAAACCTCATACAGGTTTCGTACGATGCTACGGATACTTCTATAGTACAGTAAAACTCCACGGAACCTCCAAGGTTTCGTGTGACACCTTTTTTTTTTCAGTGTGGGTGTGGGTGTGTGGGTGGGTTTGGGTGTGAGGGGATAGGGCTGGGTGTGGGAGTGAGTGTCGGAGTGAGTATGTACTTCACTCTGTTACAACCACACCCATACCCACACCCATACCCTACACCCCACACCCTCTTATCAATAGAACTAAACAATATTTTGCATGAGTTGAACTTATGCAGTAGTTTCAATAATATTCGACAATTGTTTAAAAGGGATTGCATTGTTCTTTTGTCACAAAAAAAAATCTCTATACAACTATCATGTACTTCATGTCAACCTAATGCTGGATAAACGAGAGTAAAAAATGGACCGTTACCCTATTGGTAGAAATCATTAAGGATAAGTTACATACTAAATTGTATGTAGCATGTAGATGTAGCTTATCTTGACCATAAAAAATCATAAGAGAAGTGTTGAATGGTAGTAAATTAAACCAATTGTCTTTCTCTTTTTTTCTATTCTGTCGTTTTCTTAAAACGAGAGAAAAAAAACAGAAACAAAAAAGGATTGTACATTATAATAAAAGATCTATTATACATATATATATATATATATATATATATACATACAATTGACGAGAAACCTTTTTTGAATAAAGAAAAGAAATGGCATCATGTCCGAAAGAATTAGAACGAAATAGTCCAACAAATGGAATGTCATTTACAGCTGAACAAGGTGAAAAACTTTTTCAACGTTATTTAAATAAAAAAGTTATTTGGTTTGAATCTGGTGAAGGTGGTTTAAATAATCTTCTTTTCTTTGTTGAATGTGAAAATGATCAAAATAAATATGTTCTTAAAATTTGTGGTCGATCTTGGCAGAAAATCAAAACTGAATCGGAAGTATCTGCTATTTCTTTAGTTCATAAATATACGCAAATTCCTCTTCCATATGTAGTAGCTTATTCATCAGATGCAAATAATGAATTTGGTGTTGAATGGATTGTAATGACACGTACAGTTGGGAAACCATTAAGAAGTTCATCAAAAACAAATGATACGTGGCCAAATTTATCTATTGATGAGCAAAAATCAATAATAAATGAACTTGTTGAGTATATAGCTCAATTTCATAATAGTATTCCACGTTCAAATCAAATTGGAAATTATAAAATGAATGGTGAAATAGGTGCTGATAGTAATAGAATGGGTCCATGGAATAATTATAAAGATTTTTATAATGATCATTTAAAACGTCAAATATCTTTTTTACTAAATGAAAATATATTTGAACCAGTTCGTGATGATATGATGAAATCAATAGAAGAATTTCAAAAATTAAATCTTCCATCATTTGATGATATGCCAAATGTATTTACACATAATGATCTTGGTGTTCAAAATTTAATTGTATCTGATGATAATAAAATAAAAGGTATTATTGATTGGGAATGGGCTGGTTCATATCCAATTTGTGAAGAATATTTTCGTTCATATAAACCAATTATTTATGATGATTATTTAAAAAATTATCTTTATGATCAACTTGAACAACATCAAATTCCAACTCCAAGAACAATTCAAAATTTTTCGATTTTACAAAAAATGTATGATGTTCTTCAATCAACTGCTCCTTGGTATCTTACTGATTTAATTAATCCTCAGCATCCAACTGTTCAAAAAGAATTATTTAAATATCGAGATAAGCTTAAAATACTTGTTCAACAAATCAAGGAAGAATTAAAATAAACTTTTTTTAATTTTTACTTTGTTTTTTTGCTTTTTATATTTCTAACTTTATGCATAATTCAGCGATAGAATATCGTTTTTTTCTTTTTGTTTTGTATTGTTTTGTTTTTTTATTTAAGAAATTCTCAAAAGATAATATTAAATTTCATTTATTTAGTCATTCGTCTTTCATTCTCTATTAAAGTAAATGTATGTGTCATTTATATCATCATAGAACAAGAAAAATCAACTGAGTCAGAGGTCGATCAGTGCAATATTTTTATGCAAGAATATTAACAACTAGGGATTATACAGTCTACAATCATACTATTTTTTTTTATGATCATTAGAACATTTTCGAACAATTCGACATAATATAACAAATTTTTTTATATTACTATTTTATATCTGAAAACAAATATATACATTTATATTTATATATTTAATTAATTAATTATAAAAATATCTTATTATTTAATTTAATATCTAAATCAATCTTCCAATTGCTAAAGTTTAAGGTCTCAAACTGAAAATCGTTCGGCGTTATGATTTTACAATAATCTCTAATATGCACACAAAAAGTCTCAATCAAATCCATTATGTGATATATCGTACGAATCTATTATAGAGCATAACATAAGAGATTTGTTTGAGCAGCAAATATAGATTTTATGAAGAATTTTATATTTATATTATTGATATACAATCTGCAATAGATCTGTTATTAAATTCGTTTGTGTATGTCTTACAGATAAAGTGAATAAAATTTTAAAAAAATGGTATTTATACGTCACTATTCGGAAAGAAAGGGTTTATTATCAAACTTTGAATAATTATATTTAAATACAAATAAATTCTTCAAATGTTTTTTCTCTCTCTTGAATTTTTATTGAAGAAATGAAAACGAAAAGGAAGTGAGACTTTATCTAATAAATATTCTTAAGAAATAATAAGAAAATGAAATATTTAGAAATTCATTTAAATAATTCGATCGATAGTAAATCGAAATTTATTCAATTCTCTGACATATATTTATATAAATAAAATAACAAGAGTAAACTATTATTCGTGGCTAACTTTAATTATTCGATTTGAATAAACTGTTCAAGCAACATTTTGTAAATTTAACCGTTAACTAGAGTTATTATCAATAAGAATATTTATCTGAACAACAACAACAAGAATAATTATATTTATATTAAATTTATTTGATAAAGATATTCTCTATATTAATTTACCCGATTTTACCTATTTATTAAATATGATTAATAAGATAACTAATATATCTATATTGAGGGTGTGGGTGTGATTTCTTTTTTTGAAAAATTATCCACACCTAAAAATAAAAATAAAGATATAAGAAACATGTAACCAGCTATGTTAACAATTTCTATAGAATTTATTAGTAGAAAATAATATTCAATATTAACAAATATATCAATATTTTCTTTCATTATTCAAATAAACGATTTATATATATATATACATAACAAAAACCAAAAGATAAACGATTATTCTGACATATTTATGTTGATGAAAATAATAAAATAAATCTATTTCATATAGTAGTTATTGACAAATCGCCAACATTGATTGATAACATACATATCCATAAACATATTATATAGTTTATATAAATAATTATTTGGTTTCTTATTCAATATTCGTCGTCGATTAACATTAAAAATATCAATTTAGATAATAAAACAAACAATTTTATGTGATCATCAATATGATGTCCTCACTGTTTATTAAGATTAGTGAGATGTTTATTTTGAAAAATAATTTATGAAAAAAAATTTTCATCGTCGTAGTCAAAGACAATAACAATAAGTTAAGATATCTGATCTATGTTGATAATCAATAAAATCTCAAAAATGTACTAAACTCTTTTTTTTAATTTTTTTGTTCTTTCTTTTTACTCTATAGTCGTCAAATACAACAAGCAAGAATTTAACGCACTCTTTGCCCTTCAATTCTTTTTTTGTTTTTTGTTCCTGTCTAATATTTTATTGTTGAAATATTCTTTTGCTCTCGTTTTACGTTCACATTCATAAGAGTTTGTTTTTAAAGATAGTTGTATCGCCATCGTTTTATTATTAGATTCGATAAAATATTTATTTTAATTAATAAAATAGAACAATGATTGAAAACGTTACGTCTTCATCAACTTTTAAACGTGCTGAAAACAAAACAAGGGTTCTTCGACGTTTTTTAAAAAAATTTCTTAATGATTGGTCATTTGAGTTAGCATCAATGATTGCTTTTAATTTAATGATTGCTCTTTTACCAATAGCAATAATACTTTTTGGTATATTAGGTCTCATTTTAAATGATCGTCCTCAAATTCAACAAGATCTTAAAGATAATGTAATTCAATTATTTCCATCAGACAATACAACACAAGTTGCAATAAAACAAGTATGTTTATATTAAATTATGTTTAATTCAATATTTAACATTTTTTAAAATATTTATCGAATTAACCAAATTAGTCGAATAGATTTACTTTAGATTTATCGATATCGAAGATAAAATATAAACTAGAAACAAATAAATATAAAAAGAAAAAAAGAAACATAAATATTATCTAAAATCGATAAGAATTATTTTTTAAATTTATTTATTAGAATAAAATTCAATTTACATATTCAACTATTCTATAATAAACAAGTTATCAATAAATATTTCTCAAAATGTTTTCATTTATTTTAATGTCGAAGAAACATAAAGATTAATATATATATTTACATATTCATCTTTGTTCACAATTAAAACTATATTGAATTATATATAAAATAGGGAACATAATTTTTGGTCAGTAAAAAAATATACAAAATATCAGTGTAAATATTGAAATGATCAATACTAATGTGGTCAGGTTTTTTTATATATAAGTATCAGTAACAAATTCAAATTTTATCGGTAGAAAAAACAAGTTTTCTCGTACAAAGATTAACTTAGTATAAGAAAAATAAATTTATATAAATTAAAAAAACCACAGAATAAATAAGAAGAAATTCAACAGAACATAAAACAGAAATTCAAAGAATAAATAGAGAAAAAGAAAATTCAATTACTGTACTAGCAAAGCAGTTTTAGCCTCTGGTGGTCTACCTCTTTTTCTTGTCACCGGTCGGCACTGGCTTTGCTCCAGGTGGTGCCGTGCAATATTTCAAACGATTATCCCAGCAGGGATAAAAATGGTAAAATAGCATTAAAATGTCTTTAAATCTCAATAAAAAAAACTGGTAAAAAATGGTCACAAATAATGCCCCAAAAATGTCTCCTTCGTGATTCATTAGAATGATTTTTTTTTCGAACCGTGAAAATGGTTTTAAAAATTCTAAAACAATGTTTACAATACACACCATTTTCTGGTATTATTTGTGACCGTTTCACATCGTTATAATTGTGTCGATTTGAAGGTATTTTAATATCACTTTATCATGTCTATCTCTGACTCATAGACATTTCGATTTTTATATATACCATTTAATTTAATTTACTAATTTTTAAATATATCAACAAACTTAATCATTTCAATAACTAACCGTTTAAATAATTTACTGACCATTTCATTTATTCTACTGACCACTTAAATGGTAGCCTATAAAAAAATAATATTTATGAGAAAAACCTTTCCTCTCTTATTTCATATAACATAAATCAATTTAAGGGTCCCCCCTCCTCCGTCAGAAAATCGAATTTTTCGGAGACGAATCGAAATTGAAATTTTATCATAGGAGAAGGTACTGAATTCTCCTCTTTCAGAATATCTATGATTTATCAAAAAATGAATTGATTTTCACTAACTTATCGTGTAAAACTTGGCTCCTACTGTCAGATTATTCCGAGAACTTTCCGCGGTTGCTTTCCAAGGTTTTTTGACTTTTTAAGCTGCTTTCTCTTGGCATCAGCCTTTCATAAAGTTTTTTTCTACACTAATTACTAAGAGACTATAAATAGTTAATATTAAGATCACAAATTTATAGTCTGTCTTGAACATTGATATACAAATCAGGCGATTTGCAGAAAAATCGATTTCTAATACATATTTTTCGTTTTTCTCCAAATCAACTTTTTCGAGCATACCGTTTACGCGGATAAGGGTTTTTCAATAACGACTCAATAGATAAGGGATAAGTGTTTTTTGTTGAATAGAGTACAGTTAGGGCTAGATCCTCATAGAGCCCGATTTTTGAATTTCTCTTTTGGTGAAATAAAAGACTTAGATACTTCATTTTTGTTAGCAGTTTTTTTGGCATGATTTCGTGAATTGTACGAAAAAGTTTTTTTAAAAACCAAGCAAATAAAAATTCAAAAATCGGACCCTGTGAGGATCTAGCCCTAAGGGTACTCTACAACTTGAAAATCGCCCGAGCTTGTTAGCTCGTATCCTTATTGCGAAATCCTTGTTCGCGTAAACGGTTATGAATTGACTTGAACTTGTGCATTTCTTTGAGATTTGAAGGAGATATTTTAACCATAAGCTATTCTAGTCAAGGCTAACATTCTCTCAAATTTTGATTGATGTTGGATGAAAGATAGCAAAGTTCGTTTCTGAGGGAGTGGGGTGGGGAGGAACTCTCCTTAAATAAATATTATTATACATATACTCTTTGTCGAAGTATAATCTTAAAAAATTTATTTCAAATATAATCGAATATTCTTATTAGTTTCATTAACATTTTAATAAAAAATATTCTTTTATTTATGTAAATGTTAACTGTTTACGAGAATTTATTAAATAATAAATGCGAAAACCTCAGATTTAAATCCGAGTGTTATGTGTACTTCAAAAAGTGAACAGGTATTTTTATCATCTGAGACATATCTAGACTATTTGCTTTCTCAATGTATTTTTAGACCTTTTTCAGGCGATGTTTTGTTAGAAAGCTACGATTAGGTTCAAAACTAATATAAGACTCGGAATCAGCATTTAAAACTGAGTCGATTTATATATGTTGTGAATAATTCCGAGAAAATTTTTATTTTTGAAAAAATCCCTGTACCCCCCTTCAGGGATGGTCTGGTCAATAATGACAATTTTTTCGATAACTTAGCCATTTCTTGACGGATCCTTCTCATCTTCGAACTCGGCCGAGACATTGATGAGACTAAACTGTGTAGAATATTTCATCATGATCTGACTCTCCTTTCAAAAGTTATCGTGTAAACGGCCGGTCGGACATACTGAACGATTCTAGAGTGTACTCACTTTTTGGAGTACACAAAAAGATAAAATTGAATATAATAAATTTATAAGAGAGATAAGAGACTTTTGCCTTTTCTCTATAAATCTTTCTCATTAATCAAAATTGTTGACGAAAAATATTTAAATATTATTTAAAACTTTAAATTAGTGAATAGTTGAAAAGAAAATATAGAATTTCTATTTTGAACTTTTAAATATTATTTATAAATGTTATTAATTCAAGATAATATTAATATATTAAATTATTTTTTTTTCTAATAAATATCTTTAAGAAATGTTAAACAGTGATAGAAATAGATAATACTATAAATAATTATTTTTAACATGTTTTATAATCATAGATTAATAAAACAAAATAAATTAATTCACTTTTTAAAAATCAATCATTTTTAATAGAATTCAATTAGAATGAATATTACAAATCGGAACATTTCATTATGTCATATAATATTGTAGAAGTAAATAATGATTTTAAAATATATCATATATTTTAAATAATAACTTTGATGAATTATTATCAAGAAAACTTGACTGAAGCAATATATCTATACATATGTCAGCGTCCATACTAAGATTATGTCCAATCTCAAATTGGACTGAAATAGTCAGGCGAATTTAAGATAGGACTAGTCCAATGTCAGACTGAAAGATAAGTACGGCGAATCTCGGATTAGCCTAGACCAATATCAATATAAACCTAGACTATCTTCTAGTCGATGTCAAAAATGATGTTTGAAAGTGATGCACATATCAAAGAAATGACATTTAAGGCAGTGAAATAAGAAAATTTATTGAACACAAATACTAGCGTGCAAATGGGAGGAGGGAGAGGGGTGCTGGTGCGGGTTTGTGTGTGTGATGTAGATGCGAATTTGAATCTGGATCTTAATATTCTCTCCAACGATCCACACACACCCACACCCTAGATAAAACTGTAAAATGTCGAAGTGTCTATCGATGAATGGATAAAATACGAGATGAATATTATGATATCATTTATATTTTAAACATAGAAACACATCCACTATATATGGGATGTATAGGATACTGAAAATGGAAATATCCAGAACGAGAGAGAGCAAAAATCAATCCCTTGAACATAACGATAAAGAAGAGAGAAAACACAATGAATGAACGGAAAAAGCCACATATAGAATAGAGAAAGAAAGGAAAAGACTGAATGAACAATGAAAAGGCGATACAAAATGAAGCGAGAGATATCCTCTCTATATCGTCATGAATTGACGAGATTCACAAATGATATTGACATGGAACTAGTCCAATGTTAAATTCGCCTGACTATTTCAGTCCAACTCGAGATTGAACGTATGTTTTATGCAGTGGCGTAGTCAGGAATTTTTGAGTGATTGGCCATTTCCCAGCTAAATTATTTTCTAGATCGGGCAACGATGGGCAATTCAAAATAACTTGGACTATAGTTTTTGTATATTTATTAGTATCACAAACATTATATTCTCTGAAGAGAATTAAAAAGGAACAGTCATAAGTTTTTCCGATCCATTACCCAAAAAATCAAAAGTGAAGAGCAAAAAAAACCATTTAACCAATTTATTGGACAATTGCCCAATGGCCACCCCCCCCCCTGGCTACGCCACTGGTTTTATATTTTATCCAAGAATGGCCTGAAAATATATACGTTCAATGTGTCATCCGAGTATAGACGTGTTTAAGCTTGGATCTCACATTCATCTAGGCCAATCTTATATTGGACCTAATCTTAGTATGGACACTGACATATACATATTAGTTTCTCGTATTATCATGAAAATTATGATATGTTTATTTTAAAATAATAAAAGAAAATGTTCAGTTTAGTATTAAAATAAAAGCAAATTTGTAAAATGGTAATAAATAGATTAATAATAATAATAAATGAAAATCTAATCAATTATATTGAATGTATGTGTTAGGTAGTTGATCTTGTATTTAATAAATTATCAAAAGATGCTGGAGTTATATTAGTTATTGGTATTTTATTTGCAATGATTAGTTCATCTCGTTTATTTGTTTCTATTGATAAAACTCTGACTATTATTTATCGTTTACATGAACGTTCATTTCTACGTCAATATTTAATGGCAATTGCTCTTTTATTAGCATTCATTATAATATTTATATTAATGCTTGTTGCTGGTTCAGTACCATCTGCTTTAATGAATACAGTTAGAGGAGATGCCGCTCGTTTTGGTCTATTTATAGCTGGTATATTAATGTCATTATCAATATCGTTCGGTCTTTTTCAAATGATTTATCGATTAACTCCAAATAAAAAGATGAGTTTAAAAAAAACATGGTGCGGAGCATTGATTGCTGCTATCATTTTAGAATTATTTATCATTTTATTTCCATTATATGTACGAAAATTTATGAGTAACTATGCCGGTAACACATTTTTAGTTCAAATTTTATTTAAAAAATTCGTTTACTATTTTTTACTTTCTTTCTTTCTTCATTTTTTTGAGGTCAAATTGGTTTTGCAGTCATTCTTATTATCTTTTTTTATTATTTTGCTATTATACTTATATTTGGTGCTCAAATAAATTCTTACTTTTTTGAAAATAATTTTGCATTGAATGATACTCTTGGTACATCTGTTAGTCAAATATATCAAGAGCATCATGATGAAAACATTACTAATTCTTCATTTAATGAAAATAATAATCAACAAGATTTATCAAACAATAATGAACATAATCAAATGAATAATGTTCGATGTATAAACAAATTGTGGCCATTTAAAAGACGATATTCTATTGAACCACTATCACAATCAAATAATTCTACATAGAATAAAACAAACTTTTATATTGCTTCGTTTTTATTCTGAATTATATCGTTTTAGTTTTTCTTAATATAAACAATATTTATTCATGCATTTCAACTTTTTTTTATTAAAATTTCTCTAATTAATCAAGTCGATTTCATAACATTTATATATTATAAATAATCAATCAATATTTTTAAATTTATATCTATTGAAAAAAAATCATATTGAATTTGTTTCACTGACGACAAAGAAAGAAATTCTTCATTTTAAATTATTCGATTATTCTTTCATATTTACCCTTCCGAGGCGATGTCGTCCAGCGGTGGGCAAAGCTATAGTTTAATGAGAAACTGTATAGAAAAGCACTTTTTTTTGCTTTTTTCTTACGCAGGAGGTTAAACATAAGATGTCATTTCTTCTGTGTTCAGTACTTTATTTGAACCCTTTATTTCATAGCATAATGCTTATCATTAAAACACTCAAGACAAAAAATTTTATCACAGTCAGAACAGATAGTTTTTACTTCCATTGCTGCCGCATTGCTCGCTTCTCTTGACTGTTGTGCCCTTCCCTTTGCATAACAGCCAGTGCTCCTTCTGCCAACATTGCACGTAGATCCTTCCTTTTCTTCGAGCTTGTGATCAGCGGGTTTGTGCTTCGAATGACTTGTTGACTGTTGTCTCGGGCCAGATTTCAGATTCTCGAATGTTGCACCAAACTTTCACGAAACTGCAGCATGATCGTATGACTTGTGTCATAATTTTCCTTATAAATCAAATAGGCATTAACTATTGCCGTTCCAAATAACAATTCGAATGCCACCTTTTGATACCATTTTACAGATCGTCGGAGGCATGTATGGTATGTTGAGAGCTGATCAGATAAATCTATACCTTGTTTTCCTTCATTGTAATCGCGAACAATTTGTGGCTTCATGATGTGTTCATTTAACTTACTGATTTTTCTCATGTCCACCACAAGTACTGAATGTGATCGCTTGGTGGATATCATCCAGACATCTCTTTCATCTTTCCACTTGATCAATTTGATGCCATCTTGAGGGTGTGTGGGTGTGGGTGTGTGGGTGTGTGGGTGTGAGTGTGGGTGTGAGTGTGAGTGTGGGTGTGGATGTGGGTGCGGGTGTGAATGAAGTAAAAAAAAAGACACCCATCCACCCACCCACCCACACACACACACACTAGAAATACAATATAGCGTGGTTCCATCAGCGCTAGCTCTTCTTCCGGTGACCGGACTGAATGTCGCAAGACAAAATGTCGCGGACAAAATGTTGCGGACAAAATGTCGCATGGACAAAATGTCGCAGGACAAAACGTTGCAAGACAAAATGTCGCGGACATATCGTTGCGGACAAAATGTCGCGGACAAATGGTTGCAGAAAAAACGTCGCATGGACAAATGGTTGCAAGGAC